TGTAGATTCATATTCTTTAAAATAAATTACTTCTTTTGCAGCGTCTTGACCAGCTAAGTGAAGTCTGTGAGCAATGCAATGTACAGAAGTCATAAATGGGTAATTTTTCCTAACTTAAAAAAAAAAAAAAAATTATTTAAAACTTATTAACAGCTAACCTGTCATAACAGAAGCACCATCGCTTCCAAAATGTGCAATATTTTTAATTAATTATTCTTTTTCATTCAAAAAACTTTTTATTTGAGTTGGAATGTTATTTTACGCTACAATCATCAAGTTCTATCAATCCTAAATAACGTAGCACAGGAACATTATTTGCCATATGTTTTGAAATAATCACTAAATGTTTTTCTTCGCTAATAGTTGTAGATTAATCAATTAAAATACTCCATTGTCCAGAAGCTTTAATTTCATCAATTAATGCCTTTTCAATTACATAGGCAATAGCTTCTTCAAATTTTCGTGCATATCTTGGATTTTGATATGATCCATATTGAAAAGCATTTATTGATTCGTTGTATTGATTTAAGGAAGAAAGAGGGGGAAGTCGGTTCAGAATATTTATTAATATTTAATACTAATTTGCATATTTCAGGATAAATATTTAGCGAAAGATGATTTTTGGCTAGAAAATAAACGCATTTCATTTGATTAATTATTTTTTCTTTATCGTTAATTAAATTTTGAAACAAACTTTGTACTATATTAAGTTGTCCTATTTTCCTAGCATTTTCTAAGAAAACGTGTTCTTGATTTCTAACATGTCGATCAATTAAATCTTTTTTCGTAAGTACCGCATCCTTTGGCCATGTATCCAGCTTTTTCACATATAGTACAAAACATGAGTGTTTTTCCATTAACATCACGATATTCTAACCAATCATGTGCTGTACTCCATTGTTTGGAACAGCTGCTCTTATTTTTCTGTTTCTTTTGTTTCTTGACGATCCACTAGGAGTTTCCGAACTTCTACCAATATCACTAGAAGTTTTTGATCATCTTTCATCGTTATTAGGCTCTAAAAATCCATCCATATCGATTTTGAAAATTAGTAAAAAAAAAAAGATAATCTCAAATAGATCAAAAATTGTGCGGAATATATGCGCAACTGTGCGGGATTAGTGCAAAATTGTGCGCTGTGCGGATATGCGCACACTTTTAAAAAAAAATTATGTACGGAAATTCAGTGGTCATGTGCAAGCGCACTGCTAAAATCACACACTGAATACGTGCATTAAATCGAATTTATCAAATTTCGTATATTTTATTAAACAAGCGATTTGCAAATATATAAATTTAGCGATTTTTAAAATTGAAAATGTCTATAAGATTGTTTCTTCACTGATGGTGTAATAAAATATTTGATTGTCGTTTATTAATTTTTCAGTTATATCGTCATCTTATGATTCATCAGGTGTTAATAACCACAGAAGATGAATTCGATTTCATAGATGAATAGAAAGAGGCTTGACATCTCGATGTTGCAAATTCTCTCACGATCACATTTATATTCACGTGCCGAATTCGGTATCACAGCTGAATGCCTAACATTATTGACTGATTTTTTATTTTCAATTTCAATTATGAACAACTCAAAATCTTATAAGCCAATTTCACTTCCCGTAATAGATCTCTCGCCATTAGAAAACCCCTTTTCATCCAAACTTAGTTTAGACAATATTGCAACAGAGATACAAAATGCATGTACAAAATATGGTGTATTCTACATTACCTGTTCTTCCTTCCATACTACAGACCAAATAAATATTAACGAAGCGTGTCAAAAATTTTTTTCTTTACCTTCTGATATAAAGTCCTCACTTTCAATAAAATCAGGTGGATTTACACGAGGATATATTGGAATGGGTGGAGAATCTGGTTCACATAGGCTAGAAGTTAAAGAAGCATTTTCGTATGGCTATGAATGGGATAAAAGCGAAGCGAAATTCGAGAATCTTTTGCAAGGACCGAATGAATGGGGAAATTTAGAAATTTTGTTAGGTATAGAATGGAGAAAAGCATTGAATCAATATTATAATAAAATGGTTTCGTTATCAGAGTCGGTAGTTAAATGCTTAGAGTTAGCTTTAAACATTGAATTAAAGCAGCATTGTGTTGGAGGGGAAACCATATCTCTTTTAAGGTTATTTAGATACCTTCCTTATAAACATACCGATGACGATAAAATCGAGAATGAAAAGGTTGGAAGTTCCCCACATACAGATTGGGGATTTTTGACCCTAGTATCACAATTAGACAATTCACAAGGACTTCAACTATTTCATGATAATCAATGGTGGGATATTCCTAATAAACAATCTTCGATTGTTGTCAATTGTGGCGATTATCTTTCATTGCTTACACGTGGAAAATATATTTCTCCGTTGCATCGTGTAATAAGTGATGGGACAAATGAGAGATATTCTACCGTTTTCTTTTATTATCCAAGTTATAACGCGAAAATTCCTTTAATAGGTAATAACGAGGGAGAAGAATTTGAATTCAATAAGAGAGAATTAAGTATTTTTAAAGATCAGGCTGTATATCGTAAAGAGAGTGATGTTAATCTACCAAAGGATTTTTGCTTTGGAGAGGTAAATATTCATTTATTTATATTTAATTAAATGTTATGCAAAAAAGTTATTAAAAAAAAATTCACATTTTTTAGTATATTACACGTAAATGGGATCAAGTTTTTCGTGATGGGAAAAACTATTAGTTTTTTTCGTTCATATAAAATATTTTCACGTGACCAATATCTACGCCATCTTAAATGAATTTCTATATCAAACATTATAATAATTATGCAAATGACGTAAATTACGCGGAGCTTAATATAATCATTCTCCGCAGACTTGACATAATAAATTTTTTTAGTTTCTTTCGGTTTTTTTTTTCCTTAAAAGAATTTCTGCTTTTTCTAACAGCACAACTTTATAACTTATAAACACGCAAATGTTTAAAAATTCTAACCCGTTCGATGAGGATGTTAGTACGTATTCTTTCCAATATGGCGATTATTAAGATTTTTTTTTCTTTTAAAAAAAAAAATGCTTATTTTAACGATTTTTACTGTTTAATAGCTGCTGCAACTAGTGAAAACCTCACCAAAGAAAATTGGGACCTTATAACAAAATTATGCGAAAAGACTGAAAAAAGTGGGGAGCAAGGGTGAAGACTCAAATAATCTATTCTTATATAACCTTAATCCTTTTCAGCAGTTTAATTAATGTTAATTTTTTATATTATTAGTGCTCGCGATTGTGTAGCTGCTATTCAAAAACGGCTACAACACAGGAATCCTAACGTTCAAGGCTTTGCCTTGACGGTGTGTTAGAGTGTTTTCATTTTTATTATTATTACTTTATTATTCTTACATGTTGGATCTAACTAAATTCAATTATAGCTCTCGAATTCTCTTGTCAAAATGTGTGGTACAGCTGTTCATAAAGAAATATCTTCTCGTATGTTTACACAAACCTTGACTCGTATATTGCAAGATAAGGTTGGAAGTTCATATTACTTGTCATTTATTAATTTTCATGATCCAAAACTTTTTTATACAACTAATATTCATATAATACAGAGTACGCACGAAACCGTAAAAAATCGAGTGCTTGATTTGATTCAAGAATGGAGCAATGAATTTCGTTCCAATGATACTATGGGTCTTATGGAAGAAACTATGAATAATTTACGAACACAAGGTAAGCTAATGTAATTTTTACGGATAAAATAGTTTTTATCAATTAGATCACTTATTGACTATTTCGTATGTTTAGGTTTTCATTTCCCTTCCCCAGAAAAACCCAAAAAAGAATTAAGCGAAGTACATACTTTGACACAAATTTTTTTTTATAATTGTTTGATTTACTTATATCAAGGATATTTTGTATTATAGTATGAACTTGAGAAACAGAAAAAGGAAGAGGAAGAACAGCTTCAATTGGCTATGGCACTTTCTCTTTCCTCTGCAGAAAAAAGTGGACAACGAAAGGTGTGTGAATAATGCCCACTTTTGAGTTTATGTTAAAGTTCAATATTAATATGATATCGACTTTATACATAGGTTTCTTCCACAACACCCGTAACTTCAACCACATCGCAACCTCCATCGCAGCCTCCATCACAGCCTGTATCACATGTATGTCTGCGCATAAATTTTATAAAGCGTAACTTGTTTAAACTATTATTAAAAATTCAAAAAATTCTTTTAGAGTCAGCATTTATCTCCTAGCGTCTCTAAGGTTAAAGCATTATATGATTTTGATCCTACAGAATCTGGAGAACTTGGTTTCTCCCGTGGTGACGTTATCACTGTATTAGATAGTGTGTATAAAGATTGGTGGCGTGGTGAGTTACGTGGTAAGACAGGTATATTTCCTGTCAATTATGTAGTAAGTGTCAGGAACATGTATTATTAGCATTAGACTTTACGTGGAAACAATCCTCAAGTTTCCTTACGCAATTTTTTGACTATATGATATTATTTACAGGAAAAGCTACCGGAACCAACTGCCGCAGATATTGCAAAAGAAGCGGAAATTGAAGCTGCTATTTTTGCTGAAGGTCGAAACATTGATCAATTGTTAGAGTTGTTGGCAGGGCTTGATGTTACCAGAGACAGCGTCACAGATAATGATCACATTCAGGTTCTTAAATATAAATTCATTCATTACAAAAATTATTCATATTCGTCTTTTAATTTTTGAATTTCTACGATAGAATTTGTATAACAACACTTTACCGGTTCGTCCAAAATTGATGAAACTGATCGAGAAATATAGCCAAAAGAAAGGTATATTTTTATTAGTAAAAAAAATATTGTTATATCACATAATTTTTAAATTTCAAATTTGTTCTTTTTAAAATTTATTTAATTTTTTTTTTTTAGATGAATTAATTGCATTGCATAAAAAATTCATCCAGGCCACTACAACTTACGATAGACTTATGGCCGAATCTTTAAAAAAATACGAGGGTTAGTACTTTATATATCAAAAATCAAATTCATAGTCGTAATGTGATTATAACTTATTAACATATTATGAATACATCATCATGTAGCATATATAAATCCAACCCCACAACCTCAATTTAATTATCCACCCGCAACTACTGGTTATAATGTTCCGCCTGCGCAAAATTTTCAACAAAATTCTGGTGGATATGCTGACTCGGCAGCAGCGCATGGTTATTATAACCCACAACAACATTTCCAACAGATATATCAACCAACAGAAAAATCGCCTACTTATCAAGCACCACCACCACCACCACAACAGTATCCTCAACAATTTCCACAGCAAGATGTTGTAGCAAAACTTAACGCTTATCAACAAGCAAATCAGCAACAATATCCTTCCACCCAACCTCAACAAGATAACGTAAATCAACAACAACCTAATAATTATCAAACACAGTATCCATCTCAAGATGTACTTGGATCATTAGCTGCTTATCAACAGGCGCAACAACAACCGCCAGTCCAACAACCACAACAAACTCAACCACAACAAGCTCAACCACAACAAGCTGTCCAACCACCTTCACAGTTTGCGGTTTCAGAAAATCAACCGATTTCAAATTACGTCACCCCAGATAATAAATTAAACTCTGGCTCCACACCTAATTATTTACCTCAACAATCTCAACAACATCAATCATATCCCACCCAAAACACTCAGGAACAACCCAATCAATCGAGTTATCATCAAACTTCCCAGTTTCCTCCTTCAGATAATAACTATTATTCTCAACAACAAACACAACAGCCATCACCACAACCTACTCAACAACCACCTCCGCAACAACAACCTCAACAGAATCAACCGGGACAAACAAATTATCCACCTAATTCGCAATCGTCATTTCATCAAACACCTTACACTAGTCAATATTTACCACAAGCAGATGGATCTGCTGGTTATCAAGCACAATCTTCAGCTTCCCCCGCACCTGAAATTGTAGCAACTACAGGAGGACAATCATCTGCTAATTATAATACTTATAATTCTCCCCCTCCAAATTCTAATAGTAGTGTTAGTTCGTATTCATTTAATGATGCTTCATATACTCCTACTACAGTTCAGCAAACACCATCGGCTCCCCCATCAACGCAAAAGCAACAAGCATTTTCATTAGCACAGATATCACAACATATTCAGAATTTGCCAGAACAACAGACACAATCAGGTTATCCACCAAATACACAACAGCAACAACAATATCCTCAACAAAATTCATACTATAATGCATCTCAAAGTGCATCAGCTCCTTATGGTACTCCTGTTGCCCAACCTGAATTCGTTTAATAAAATTATGTTATAAATGTTAGTTTATTAAAGTTATTTGTTTGAATTTGTTTTTTTTTTTTTTGTTTTATTCATTTTATTTATTTGATATATAGGAATGTTTTTTTAAAAAAAAAAAAAAATTATATATATATATTGTGCGTATTTGATGCATTTTTATTGCGAAACCTGACTATAAATTGAAAAATGGATTTTTAAGTGAATAAAAAATAATTGTTGGAAATTAATATTTATGTATTTTTGTATACGAATAAATAGGATTTTTAGAATTTTTTTTTTTTTTTGTAAAATTTATTTTTATAATATAAAATATAAGTATGAAAAATAATGAGTTTGTTTAGATTATTTATTAATAAATAAATATTAGAGTGATATAAAATGATTTTATAATAAGTTTAATATATATATATATTATATTATATAAATTTTTCTTTTATTATTTATATAATAATATGCTTTAACCATTTTTGATTTATATATTATAAAGAAGGTTTAAAGAAAAAGTATTTAAACCTATTTATTATTTATCTAAAATTATATATATAATTTAATATTATTAATAAATATAAATAATTTTTTATTATAAATTAAATTAATATTATAATAGTTATTTAATTTGTATTATTATAAGGTTTTATTTAATTTAATAAATTTGATTTAACTTCTAATAATTTAAAATTAATAATTTTAATAATTTATTTAAAATTTTTATTTTATTAAATATAATTAATTTATTATTAAAATATATAAATAAATTGATTATAAAAAAATTGTTAAAGAAATTTAGATTTTAAAAATTTTTTTAATAAAATTTTAAATTTAATTTTTTATTATATTTTGATTTTTGATATATAAAATGTAATTAAATATTCATTTTTGTAGAATTTGATTTTTTTTTTGTTATTATAAAATTTATATATATAATAAAATTTGAATTTTTTAATATTAAAATTAAAATTTTATTATTTAATGAATAAAGAGCCAAGTATTTATAAATTTAAAATTTTTTAAATAAATTTTTTATATAGTTTACATAAAATTAATTTTATTTTAATAATAAATTTATTTATTTAAAAGAAATATAATTTTATTATAAATTAGATAAATTAAAAAAAGTATGAAAAATAGTATTTTGAAAAGTTAATACTTAGTTAGAGAAATGATATTTATTATGTAATATTTAGAAAATAAAGTAATTAAAAGATCTTAGTATATATAATATAATGTAAGATTAATATATATAATATAACATAAGATTATTATAAAGCAGGAGTAGATATGAACTTTTAGTAAATAGAAATTACATAATAAATGTTATTATTCTTATTATAAAAGGCAGATATTATCAATAATTCTAATTATTTATGATTTAACAAAAATATAAATATTTTATAAAAATTATTTATATTAATTAATATAGCTAATACTTGATATAATAATTTGATATTCAGACTGATCAGATTTTTATTATAAAAAAATTTGTTAATATTATAATAAATTAATTTGCTATAGTATATCAAATTATTTGGTATAATAAATGATTACTGATTTTGTTATATAGTATTTAGTATATAATATTTTGAGTATAAATATAATTTTATTAATATAATTTTTCAAAAATATTTATATTCTTATATTATTTTATAAAGATTAAATAATTTATTATATCTCTTTTTTTTATAATATGCAATCTATTAATTGTTATATAATATTTTTATTAATTTATAAAGATTTTTTAAAAAAAATTTTTATTTCATTTTTTAAAAAAAAAATTTTTTATTTTATAAATAACATTTTAAAAAAAAATTTATCTAAATGCTATCTTTTATAGAAAATGTTTTCTATATAGCTATCAATCTATTTTTCTAACTTACAAAAAGCTTATATTTATATCTTTTCTATTTTATATTTTAAGGAAAAATGTATTTGTAACATTCTGTTATATGTCTTATTTATAACACCCTTTTTTATTTTTCTTAATAATAAATTATTTTATTAAATATTTTATAAATAAGATTTTAAATGCAATATTTAATTTAAAAAACTTTTACTTAATGTATTAAAGATAGTTTTATAAATAAAATTTTCAGTTACAAACAATTTTTTGAAATTTTTAAAAAAATTCTTATTTTCATTACACAACTGATCTTTTGTTTTGATTTATTAAATTATTAACGTTACATCTGATCTTAAATTTTGATTGGATAAAATTTTAGATATTACAAATAAGACATGTAACAGAAGACCAGTTCAATTTTAATCATTCAGATTTTTGATCACAAAATTCGTTAACCAATCTGAACATGTGATCAAAATCAAAATTGAGCACTCTGATCTTTAATTTGATCGATCATATAATAAAAAAATTTTTTTTCAAAATATTATTAAAAAAAAATTTTTTTCTTTCCTATAATTCATATTAATGACATATCATCAAAATATCGAAGATTTATTGTTGATGTATTTTATTAAATCAAGCCAGATTTTTGAGGATTCTAATGATGAGACAAATGATTTTGAAGAACAGCTTGAGACTGAAGAAGAAGAAGAAGTAGTTCTTCTTGAATTATATTCTTTATTAGATTCTTGTTATTTAGAAGTCTGTATATATGATATTGCTAAATCTCAAGTATAGTGGCATGTAATTATTCCTAAATATGATGATATTAGATTTAAAAGAATTATGAGAATAGATTCTCAAAGTTTTTAAAGTTTTTTATCAAAAATTAAATCACATTCAGCTATTTTTTTTTAAGAAAAGTAGGTTCAAAAAATGAAATTTTTAGTATATGTTTATGATATGATATTTCAGAAAGTATCGTTTATCTATATTGTAAAAGGGTTATAATTGCAATTTTCTCATTAAAAAATGAGTTAGTTAAATGGGCAATAAGTGAATTAAGAAGAATGGTTCATCAAAGATTTCATAATATTAGAAGGTTTAATAATATTATTAGTACTGTAAATGGTATCCACATAATTTTAAGATCTGCTTTATTAAAGCAGCCTGAAATATATTAGAATCGTAAAAAAAATATTCAATTCAGTGTCAAGGTATTGTTGATCATTGTAGTATCTTTATTGATTATAAAATAGGTTAGTCAGGATCTATTTATGATACAAAGGTATATCAAAATTCTTTTTTTTATCAAAATATTTCTACATTAATAAAAGAATAGGATTATTTACTTAGAAATTCAGCATATTCATTATCTTCTTTTTTTATTAAACCCTTTATTAATCCTAAAAATAATGTGCAAATACAATTTAATGTTAAACATTCTCTATATCATGTAGTAGTAAAAATGATTTTGATAGTTTTAAGAATAGATTTAGTTGCTTAAAAGACTTAAATGTTAGAAAATTATTAACAGCAGTTCATTTTACTGAATGTTGTATAATTTTATACAATTTTTTAGAAATAAATAATAATAGTTGAGACAATTTAGATGATGATGATGATAATAATAATAATAATGATAGTGATGATAGTGATAATAATGATAGTAATAGTGATGATAATGATAGAAATAATAATGATTTAAATGATTTAAATAAAAATTCTTTGAGAAGAGCAGGAGAATTAAAAAGAAATCAAATAATAAACCAATTATTTTAATATCATTGATTTGAAATTTTATTAAATTTGATCAAAAATCAATATATAAAATTAAAATATATTATTATTTTTTTTGCAATTTCAATTCTATTTTTTTCATTCTTAATTCAAATTTCATTCTTGACCTTTCTCTTTTATATGCCTACCTTCTCTTTTCAACTTCTATCCATTCCTTTTCTATCTTCATCTTTTTTTTTCCAAATTCTTTCTCATGTTTTACTTATTTCAGCTATTGCTACAGCCATAACTTCAACATTATTTTTAGGTTTTTGTTTTTTACAATTTTCTTTTTTAATTTTAATTTCTTCTTCAATACTAGTTCCTGTTTCTTTATTTACTAAAACTAAAAGACTTATATTTTCATGTATTTCAAAGATCATATCTATTTTATTATACTAATACCAATCTTTTCATTTTTTACCAGTTTGATTATTATGTTTCTTAATGGATTCATACTTCTTTGTTAATTGAGCAAGTTTATCTTAAATATAAATAATTAAAAATATTAATAATTTAATAAAAATAAGAAAAAAAGTAAGAAAATATTTACTTTTAATTGCATTTGACTCTTTATTAAGTAGAATATTCTTTGTCATATCATTATAAAACTTTGACTTATTTCCTTTAAACCAAGCTGAGTAATTTTCTTGAATATAGTCAAGTAAAATCTTAATTCCATCATATTTCTATTTACTTCCAGATTTTTCATCGGAAGGATTTTGATTTTGATCATAATTTTCTTCTTCCTCCGCCTTATTCTCATCATTTTTTCATCAAATAATTAATAGTCCTTTTTAATATTCTTTTGTAATTTTGATCATAATTTTCTTCTTCCTCCACCTCACACTCATCCTTTTTTTTCATAAATTAATTAATAGCCCTTTTTAATATTCTTTTATAATTAAAATTCTAAAATATATACTTACCTTTTCTATTTCAAGTGGACTCAAATTCAAGTTTTATTATTGAAGAGAAGTATTAATTAAATTATATAATTGAGGATCATGTTGTTGAGAAAGAGTGTGTTATTACTGGGAAAAATTATGTTGTAACTGAAGTAGGAGAAGAACAAGTTGTTGAGAAAAAACTTGTTGCTGTTGAGAAAAAGCCTGCTGTTATTATTGTTCTACAAAAACTGATCTGAACAAAATTAAGCGTAGAGTTGTACTAGTTAAATGTATAAGTATTTTCTTTTTTAAAGGTCTATGAGTATCAGTAAAGTCAGTATTAGAAGTATTAATGCGTTTAGTAGAAGTTTTTTCTTTACTTTGTACTTGATTCATAATTTTTTTGAAAGCGTGTTATTTACTTGTTAACAAAAATGATCAAAAAAATCTACTTTTCTGTAGTTCAGGAAAATTGAGTCACTGATTAAGTTATA